GCATCCTTAGTTTAATAAGCTTGTCCAGAGGTCTTGTAAGCCTCTAAACATTCATCCTCCAGCTCCAAGTGCTTAGCTACATCGTTAAAAGTAATGATGCTTTCATTATGGGTCAGATTACCCTTCATATGCTCCCAACTAGTAGGGAGCAATCTGATAATAGCCTGTACTTGCTGTTCATCAGAAAGAACATATCCAACTTCCTTAAGTTCTCTGATCATGTTGGCCACCTCTCTTAAATGTTGCTTCATAGGATTGTTTGGCTTAAGTTTGTAGATATCAAACCTAATCGTTAACCTCCTAAGTTTAGTAGTGGAAGTACCACCAAACTTATCCTTCAATGCTATCCACATAGCTCGTACAATTTTGTGCCTCTCAAACTCGCACATTATGTCATCAGCCATGGCACTTAGAAGTGTAATTCTTGCTATACTGTTTTTCTTCTTCCAAGCTTGGTAAGCTTCGTGGTCTCTCCCATGTTGGGCCGTGTTCCAAGCTTATGTATTCTATAATGACAACCAATAACATAATTGCTAAGCTTAATAAAAGGGAAAAGCTTAACGGGGACAACTGGGACATTTAAGGTAGAATTCGGTATTCTTCTTATCAATCATGTATTGGATGTAACTAGCGAGCATGCCATTGATGCCTTTTATGTTTGTCAGTTTGGCCACATCTCTTTCAACTATACTCATAGCTAAAGCAAGGGTACAGGGTTGATTCACCTCTTCTCCTTCCTTAACTTCGGTTTGATCGGGAAGACCAAGTGAATCATTAAAGACCAAATAATGCTCGGCACGGAGGGGTTCAATGGGGAACAAAGTTTCCAACTCAAGTCCAGAATCCATTAACTCCTCCAGATCGTCTTGAAGAAGCTCTTTAGGGTCCTCCTCAGGATCCTCATCCTCAGGTTTATATTCTGGAACTCCATCATCCATGTATGAGTATTCCAATGAACCATGTTCGATATTTTCAGTGCTACCAAAAGCCTCTTGCTTCATTTTCACCTAAAACAAAATAATATAAATTATTTTGAAAATTCTAGAATTTTTATCCATATAAAAATACCAGAAAATACACTGAAATACTAAAAAATAGATCCTTAATTGTCTCAAAAATTAACAAATTATATATCAAATAAAGACCTTGATTTTACGGATTTTTAGAGACAAATCACACCTCAAACAGAGCTCCCATGGGCTTACACGCGTCCCAAGAAGCATAAAATCTGAGAAAATAAAAAATTTTAAGCCCCACTCACGCTGTCGGCGCGTGAACTCCACCCGCCACATGAAGCCTGCAACCGGCAACACGTATTGTGCCGGCAGCCTCCACGCGCCACCACCTCTTAGGTGGTAGTGTCCACGTGTCGAAGCAGTGTACCACGTGGCGACACGAGCCGCGTGGCAGTTCTAGCCAAAAAAAATTTTAAATTAAATTTAATTAATTATAATAATTTTAAAAAATTTTGGAAATAGGTTAGGCCTGGTTCGGTCCTATCCGGATTCAGACCAAGCCAGCCCAACCAGGTAACCCCCTTTTTTTTTTTTAGGCAATACTAAAATGGCGTCATTTGGGGGTTGGAGGTTGTCTTCAACCTCCAGCCAGGTCTGACTGACCCGGATTCCTTCGCGGGTCAAGTCCGTCAAACCCAGAACCTTCTCTCCCCCATATCTCCTCCGTCGGATGTCCGTTCTTTGCTTTCTTAGTGTCATTTTCTTCGTTTTTTCGAGCTCTACGCAATGGAATAATTTTTGAAGCCTAAAAACTTCATTTTTGAGACACCAAAAAATGAACACTTTAACTGTTAAAAAATGAACCATACAGATTATGAGTTTTATGGGGGCAGAGAAGCAGTCTATCATATCTACTTATAAATATAAATCAGAAAACAATCATACTGGAGTATAAATGAAAGGATTTGCATAGTATATATGTGAAGCAAATCTATGGATACTCAGAATCGAAAGGAGGAAAAAAACAAGAAACACTAGAACAGAAAGGCATATGAAACGCAAGCCACAAAATGACAGCAATAGAAAAATAAACCCTCGCTCTGATACCATTGTAGTGATTCGGGCATACCTGGAGTGTATAATAAATTCAGATAGCCATGCGCGGAAGTCTGATCACTGTGATGGAGTCAGACTATGCTTCACAATAAATGCACAAGGGAGCGAAGAGCCAGAAAGAAAAAGACTTTTTTTTTTTTGCGAACTAAGGGAGGGAAGCCAGAAAATACATGTGGCGGTTTTCTTATTTAACTACCTCCACTTATCCCATTCCTGTAACCATTTCCTCCTTAGTTTAAACCAAGAAAAGGAGTATATCGCAGTTTTCGACCCACATGTTATGTTTATTTACACAAGAACCTCAAAGTAAATGGGTTTGGATCCAATCCACCAAGGGTGGACTGACCCATTTTCTTACAATATTTGTTGGGGGAGGCACACTTTTCTTTCATATTCTCATTGTAGGATATATATGTCGTAAGCCCCACTTTGATCCATTATTCTTCTTCGAACCTGAGGTTTTGAGGCTTTCGACTTTTTCTTTCATCCTTGTTGCATCTTATCAAGACAAGGGCTCTCCATTTATAACCGTGATTGTGATACATTATACACATTTTTCCCTTTTATTTATATTTATGAACGTGGAAAATGGTTGTAATCATTGTTTTAAGTTTACTATTGGAGTTTCTCTGAATTGACATTTGTGTAACAGAATAATTCGACATAAAATTGGTAAAAACCAAACCTGTTGCTATTTTGTTAAAATATAGTTGCAGTTAAAGTTGAAAAATATGCATTGGCCCTTCATTCAAAAATAATAATTAATAAAAAAGTAAAATAAATAGAAACAATTTTGAAGTCTAGCCAACGAGATTAGCTTGCATATATAAGGATAGAGTGAGGTATATGAATAGCATCTAAGTACCATTGAGATGATGATAGACACAGCTTTCTGTTGATATGAAATAAGACCTAAAGTCTTGTTTTAGAACGTAACAAATTTTTGGTCCAAAGAACACAACAAATTTATAATGATTATTATAACTAGTACTCCCTCTTGTTTTAAATCTAAAAATTAGTAGAAGAATTCGCTTTATTCCTAAATATAAAACTTCAATCCACTTCATTTCGTAAATTTATAAGTTTTCTCTAAACTCTCATCATTGATTAAACATATATATATATATATATATATTAACAAATTTTGTTATCATGAGAGTAGTTCCAAATATACAAATTATTAAAAGGGATATTTTAGAAAACTAATAAACATTTTTATGGATAACAAACTAAAATATTTTCTTAATTTTTATAAACTAATTATCTAACTCATACATTTAGGATAAGATAAAAGGGAGTAGTATTAATCATATATGGTCATTTGAAAAAAGGCATTTATCAGCTACGAGTACTTTTTTCTACAAACTATGGGTACTTTTTTTCCTATGCAACTATGGGTATCCTTTTTTCGGCTATGCATAAGTTTCTTTTTTATTTATTATTGAAGACAATGTTGTTTAAAATATTGATGGGTGCTAAACGTTTGGGACCCTGAATGCCTTTTATTTTGAGCTTTTGTGACATATCCTAAATGGATCGGTGGTTGAAATTTTGAAACATGGAAGAATATTTGGGCATGATCATATGGCTAAACTCGTTCAGCCCAGTTGTGTGGACTAGGCCCAATTCTAGAATTTCCACTAATCACTATTTTTTATCTTTCTTTTTTTTTTTTTGGGCTTTGCCGGCCTGACACGCATCGCTTATGATCCGCGAGACTTCAACATTAGACAGTGGACAGAATTGTTTTTAAAATTAATTATCATGCATTTGCATGCGATGTGCTATATGATTAAAATATTCTCACATTTTCCAGTGAAAAAGGAAATTATGACAGTATTTGGATGAAAATCAAACTATACCTTTAAAAGTGATTTTATGGTGTATAAAACGTATTTTGTTTATCCAAAAATCACTTTTAAAAAGTATTTTTATATAAGTTAAGACAAAATTTCTCTGACATATTTACTTTGTATATTATGAAATCATTTATAAAATCATAATTTGGTGTCCATATAATGAAAGGATTTTAATCTCGACTTGTATAAAAGTACTTTTTAAAAATGCTTTTGGGGTAGACAAAAAACCCTTGCATTAAGAAATAGTTACGACTTATTCGAGGTACCTGGGTTGCAAGCATTGGTATATTAATTATTACCATACACATTGATTTATTATCATACTCCACCCAAATGAAAAATATTTATGAATCTATCATATTCACGATCTCTTGCGTAAGAAAATATTTTATATCAGTTGAGTCAAACGATTTTTACATATCCATTACAACTTTTCCCAATCCCCGGCAGTAATATTATTACATCTATCTACTTAATTAATATGAAAATTATATATTACATTGTTTATTTTTAAAAAAATGGAAATATTAGCGATAAGAGTTTATTGTAAAATAAATTATATGTCCTATAATTTAATGGGCAAAAGGTATTTAGAATTTATAGGCTTAAATATATAATATTTTCATAATCATTTTTAAGTTCTTGTTTAAAATTTATTTCTTGGTTAGTTGATATAAAAATAGCACAATAGAGTTAAATCGTCATTTATAGAGATAAGCATACAAATAGTAATAAATATTTAAAGAAAGCAAAGAAAAGAAAGGCACCACGTGACGTTGCAGTTGACTTATATATAATATATATAGACGCACACACTTTATCATTGTATGAAATAAGATGCATGCGGAGCATTAAAATATTGTTTTCTGTTATTCCCGAGTTGCACGGGTCTATCGTTTCCGCCAAAAGCCTATAATATTTATATCCTTGATTTCCAGCAAACATATACCTGAGCTACATTTGATTCGTCTTATTCATTTATGTACGTACAAGTTACCATCGTCTTTCCACATAGAGGAAGGAACGGGACACTAAAATCCGAAGACAAGAAGGTTCATATTGCAGAGTGATGAATGAGATTCTTGTTCTTGCTCTTGTTTTGCTCCAGATTTGTGCTCAGTTTGCAACTTCTGGTTCACCTGTTCACCGCCTTCCTGGTTTTGAAGGCCCTCTTCCTTTTCATCTCGAAACTGGGTTAGTGCTCAATTCCCCAATTTTCAAACTTTAAAGCCTTGCTTCTTCATTTGGACTTTGGTAAGCTAGAATATTATTTAGGACTTTTGCTTAATTAAATAAACATTAAATCAAAATTTAATTTATTGAGATTGATCGTGGTAAATATGCAGCAATTAATTTATCGCATTCTAGGAATATTTTTGTTTCCTAAAATGTGGGTATTTTAGCTTCATGACACTATGAATAAAGGATGCCTCTGTCAGTTATTAGTTGCAACCATTGAGTTTTCTAAGTATCTTTCTCCTTCTCTTTCTTTTTCTCTCTTGCGGAGTGCATTTGCTGTGCCATTTTAGTATAGACTCTATTATATTGGTCTACACTTTGCGTTTGGTATAGGCTCTAATTAATAATCTAAATTCTGTGTGAGAGCTCCAGTGATCCAATTCGAATCTACATATTATGTTCTTCTCCTCTTTTATTTTTTTTGACATGTGGTATATGATATGTGTCTACGTAGGTATGTGGGAGTGGGAGACTCAGAAAAAGGAGGACAAGTGTTCTATTATTTCATTGAGTCAGAGAACAATCCACAGGAGGACCCTCTTATGCTTTGGCTCACTGGTGGCCCTGGTTGCTCTTCATTTTCAGGCCTCATTTTTGAAATAGGTCACTCCAAATCTGTACTCCTCATCTTTATTATATGCTTATTATGTTTCTCTAAACAAAAAATATATATAATCTAAATATTGGGCCCCTGTTTTACACAAGCTTCAGATTGGAAACTGTATTATTCACCACTATTTAAATAGTGTTATTTTCAATACTTATATTATACTGCCTCTTATTTTTAACATAAAGTAAGTTGAGGGTTAGGTTTAGTCGAAATTATAATTCATCAATTTATTTTGCCCTATCGGACGGGATACTTGAAAAATATATTGTACTCCAATCCTATTTATAAGGCAAATAGAAAAGATTTTTTTATCCTATTTATAAGTCAGATCATTGAACTTTTTAGATTAATGTACTATTTTATATTTCATTTATTATAGTTTGCATTATTATTTTCATACAAAGTGTATATATTAAATAAGAATGAAATTGAAAAATTGTTATATTTTAATGTAGTTTAAGATTTTCCTAACTCATATAAAAAATGATCCAAATACCCTATAAATAGAACTAGAGGAGTATATATTAAATTTGATTTTTCTACCAAAATAGCTTAGGTCAATTTAATAAGACTTTTCCTCAAGGTTATGTATCTTCAATTTATTCCCATTAGTCAATTGTTCGGCTTTAATACAGAGACTTATTTTAAGTTTCAACATGCTTTATCAAAAAAAAAAAATTTTAAAAAAAAGAGAAATATTTTAAACTCTATTAACTCTATTTGAAAATTTAATAACTTTTTATAACTTTACTGTATTTAATATATGAAATTTGAAGAACATAACAATCTGTTCAATAATAAATGAAAGCTAAAATAGTCATATTAAAAATTTAATGAAATGATTTATAAATAGAAAATCTCCCTTGGCATTATAACTATAAATATACATAAAACAAAGTAGTATTCTGATAATTTATAAGTGCTCTATATATACATACTCTCCGGTGTATATTACCTGTTGCCGTCAATTAAATTGCTTTTCAAAAACGTTTCATTGCTTTTTTTGTTTTAATTATAATATAGGTCCGATCGCATTCAAAGTTGAGAAATACAATGGTACCCTCCCAAAATTGGTTCGGAGGCCTCAAGCGTGGACAAAGGTGAAAAACCTTTTTCAAGTTTACTTATAGGAAAAATGACAGAAAAGTACCTATTTAATTTTAAAATAACAAATAGATGATTTTGACATATTTTAACTTGTTAAAACTATTATAACGGTAGTCAAAACTATTACAATAGTAGTTAACATAATCTATTTGTCTTTTTAAAATTTAACAGATTTTTTTTTAGGGGTTATTTTCCCTTACTTATAACTAATCTAGTTTTAGATTGAATTCATCTTCATAAAAAAAATTCTTTGAAAAGGATTTTTTGGTTTACCGGTATCATAACAGGAGGATCAAAACAACCAAAAAGAAATATTAATATAGAATGATACAAGAAAAAACAGTAAGAACCAATAAATTTATATAAACTTTTCTACTAGGAATATGATTTTGATTTTTGTTCATTTTGTTGATCTAGGCATGCAGCATAATTTTTGTAGATTTGCCTATTGGCAGTGGCTTCTCCTATGCAAATACCCCTTATCTTCAACGAGGTGACTGGACTTTAGTTAACCATGCCCATCAATTTATTAGAAAGGTACGTACAATATCAATCCCCAATAACTCCAAACTTTATTTCTCACCAATTTAATTATGAAATCACTACCAGCAGTTTTTTCACTCAGCCATAGAAATAGAGAAAATTGTAAAAAAAGATATTGGAATTACAAAAACACAGATAGGGACCCTTGACAACTTCACTATGGCTTTTAACAATTTCATGACATATTATTATTATCAAAACCCAAAGTGAAGTTGTCAAGGGTCCCTATCTGCGTTTTTACAATTCCAAAGTCTTTTTTTGCGATTTTCCCACAGAACTACATATAGCTAATTAGTCAACCCCAATATATATATTTATGAAATCCATGAAAAATTCATTTCATTCATAAACTGAAAAAAAAAATGCCGGTTGCCTCACAAGACATTTTGATGATGCTCAACTCCTTTTCAAATTATGATATCTGTTCTTCTAATAGTGATTTAGTTAGGATTTTTTTTATTTTCCATTTTTAGTAATTCTGTTATAGTACTATAAACTCTGCTTTTTATTATTTATATATATTGTCTTTTTATCAAAAAAAATTACGGGCTGCCTCAAATATTGTACAATATGCAGGGCGATCCATAGACCTTGTTATAAAATTTACCGTATTATATTTGCAGTGGCTCATTGATCATCCCAGATTTTTGTCACATCAAGTTTATATTGGCGGTGACTCGTATTCTGGCATTCCCGTTCCTGCTATGGTTCAAAAAATTTCAAATGGTAAGATACTCTTTAAAGAACTAAAACAACAGCGAATTCAACAAGTGATTGAATTTGCTAATTCCATTGCAAATTAAAAAAAGACTTAGCGATGGAATTAGACTGATTAATTAGCAATGAAAATTTTATCGCTAATTTGCTGCTTTTCTGGGTTGAATAAGTATTGGATGTTAAAATATCCCATGAGAAACTTGGCATATCCGCTTTAAAATTTTATTGGTTCGCAGGAAATGAGAAGGGTATCCAGCCATGGATAAATCTCCAGGTTCGTAATTTATTTTCTCAAAATTTGTCTTTTATGTAATGTTTAGCATTTAGGAAAGTCTTTTCTATATATAAAGAAAATGGATACACTTATCCCATTTCTTTTCTAGGTACAATTCTCAATTTCTTCCCAAGAAAACACTTTTCTGTGCATCAAATATTGCCTTCACTGTTTTTGCTTTATAAAATACTTAGAAACTTTATTAAGGTTAATTAACAAGGAGCTCATCGTTTGAGCAGGTCGTTCCACCAAAATATGTCTTTTTTATTGTTATGTTATGTTTAAAGTAGATTGAAACTAATGTTTCATAATAAATTATTCTTTCAGGGATATGTGCTAGGAAATCCCCTCACAACAATGGAAGAAGAAAATTATTTGCCCTCATTTGCTCATGGAATGGCGCTTATTTCTGATGAACTTTATATGGTATATTATCATCATATATTAATTACATTTTGAAAAATTGATATGATTATATTATGATTATGAATCTAACAATTTATTTTATGAACAGTCGTTGAAGAAAAATTGTAAAGGAAATTATATAAATATAGATCCAGAAAATAAATCATGTCTGAGAGACTTCAACATTTTACACGAGGCAAGCAACTGTCACATTATTTAAACACATATACTCTTTTAATATTTCAATTATAAATTATATAATAATCAATAATTACCTTGTTATTAAACTGTTTTATTTTGTTTGATCTCTCAGCTCATTTCAGGACTTAGTGAATATGACACTTTAAATCCCAAATGTGAAATGGCTTTGAATACGCCTCATGGATTTTTCAGTAGAAGATCTCTGATCAACAAATTTCGAACGACCCTAATTAGTTCTCGCCTTGCAAGGCCACCTTTAAGTTGCCAAGTAATTTTTTTTTTTTTGTATATACTTAGTAATAATTTCTTTTTAAATCCATTATAAACTTATTTGATATTTCATTTTTGTTTGTTTCTATTGTTTAGAGTTATGTATATTTTCTCGGCTACGATTGGATTCAGGATAACAAAGTTCAGGAGGCACTACATATTCGAAAGGTTTGATTATAATTATTTTCTCCTTCTTTTTAGAAAAAAATAATTAAGGCATAAGATCTCTCATGAGTTTTGTAAGTTTTACTAATTAAATTAAAAACTTTACAAAAATGTGAAATTTAATCAAATCTAAGGTTTTAAAGGTTGGTTAATTTGTGGTGCAGGGCAGCAAAAGGAATTGGCAACGTTGTAATCCCTTCGATTATAGTTACGACATCACCAGTGCCTTTCCATATCATGCAAATCTAAGCCCAAAAGGCTTTAGATCTTTGATTTACAAGTATGTCTCTTTTCTTTAAAACTAATCTAGCGGCTTCCATTTACAAGTTACTCGAAGCATATTCATATATTATAGAATTTGTCAGAATTTTTATATATTATATATAAAGCATTGATAATAATTACAAATTAATTGCTCATTATTATACATACAGTTGAAAAATTTTAAGAAAAAGGTTTAAAAAAAAAATCATCACCAGGTTATTATCATTTTATGTCAATTTTTGAATAATGAAGACCTAATTACAAGATATTTAAATACTTTGTTGATGCAGTGGAGATCATGACCCAATAGTTCCATTTATGTCGACTCAAGCATGGATCAGAGATTTAAACTACTCCATTGTTGAAGACTGGAGACCTTGGCTTGTTAATGGCCAGGTTGCAGGGTGCGTATATTATATTCACACACTATACCTAATTAGCTTATGAATATAGTGTGATTTGTCTTCCATGTAGCATAACTTTGGAAAAATTATATACTAATTTTGTCTCTTAATATAAAATCTAGTTAATTAATTGGAATAGATTAAGAAAACTAATTAAATTAGTTTTTTTTTTCAAAATATGCATGCTACCTTTTCTAAAATACATTCTTAAATTATTTGTATTGAAACTATCACTTAATGTAAACTCCCTTAATATATATAATCAATAGGGATAGTTTAAAAAAATTATAAGTATGGGGACAAAATGAACTAAGGTTTTTATATCTAAAACCAAATTCAACTACAAATTAGCTTTTATATTAGGGACTAAAGATATTATGTGCGTGCGTGAATTTGACCATTGAAAGCCAAATTGTAGTATTCAAAATTTGATTCAATTTACCTTTGATATATGTATTTTTCTTCTCTACCTCACATATTTGTTTCCTTTGGACCAGATATACGAGAAGGTATTCTAATAAGATGACATTTGCCACTGTAAAGGTAAGAACAAAGAACGGGAAGTTCACTAAGTAACATGAAATATAAGCTGTGTATATATAGTATTATTGATTTCTTGGAAGACAAGAAAAACGAAGAAGGGTTGAAAATAATTGAAGTGCGCATTAAATAATTAATTTTGAAGTTTAATCTGTTGGTTTTATTTATGTAAATTGCAGGGTGCTGGACATATAACTCCGGAGTACAAGCCTGAAGAATCTTTTGCGATGTTCATTAGGTGGATATCTAATACGCCTTTGTGGGTAGATATATAGTCTCTTTCATTCACGATTACTCTGCTCAAAAGCAAGGATTCGATGAAACGACCTCGCATTGCTTCCCGCTTCCTTTTCTGTGCCAATTTGTTCTCTTATTAGATATGCACACACAAATCACAGGGCCCATTTGGTGTACTAAAAATCTGGCTCGGGAAAGGGAAAATCAAGGTTTTCAATAAGCCTTGGTATGTTTGGTTGGACAATTTTATCAGTAGCAATTCTCTGGCAGTGTGAAATTTTCATCTATATAAAGGAAAATGGGTCCCCACCCCCTTTTTATTGCAACTAATTTTCTAGCGCAAGCAAGCAAATACGAAAGACAAGTCTGCCCCACAAAACATATGCTATTGCTCTCTCCCTTTTCTCCTTCTCCTATTGCTTCTTCCTCTCTTCTCATCAATAGATAAACAAAATATTTCATTAATTAAAAAACAAAAAGAATCTTTGAACGGACAAGGAGGAAAAGCATTCTGCAAATGCTTTAAAAGGCAAACATATGCACCTGGAAGAATATCAACACAAGGGTAAAAATATCACCCAAGCTTGAGCTATAAGCGCTCAATCATCAGATTTAGAACTTGAGTAACATTCAAGGCCAATATGTCAATATTTTTGAAGTGAAACTTGTTATATATAAAAATAGACTCTTTTCGCTCAAAAGAAAAAAAAAAGATTCTAAGCTGTTCAACAACATCTACCTCAAGAAAAATGTTTTCATATGAAATAGATATGATTTTTTAAATTTGGTTTAAAATCTGATGAGAAATATGATTCTGACCCTTACTCATTATTTCGATCATAGTTTTAAAATTACAAAGCCAATACTAGGGGGAAAAAAAACCTTTTTACAATGCCTACTCTACATTGTTTATTGTGGCAATGGTGTAAAAAATGTGACTAGTGGTATTTTTGTAAATATAGATAGATTTTTAAACCTGTTTCACATAGAACTGGTATAAATATATACTCCTCCGGTCCTTATTATAAGACCCAATTTGACTTTTTATTTGGTCCTAATTATAAGACCCAATCCATTTTGTCTCTTATATTTATGTATTTTTTTCCAAGATAATCCTTCTAATAATGATAGTTTTAGCCAATATACTTAATTAGCAAGGATATTTTAGGAATGACAACACTTATTTATTATAAATAACCAACTTAACTTACTCCTTAATCTCCTCAAATAAGTCAATTGGGTCTTATAATTAGGACCGGAGGAGTACTTTTTACATTGGTTGTTTGTGCAACAAGTGTAAAAAGTATTAAAATTAAAAAAAAAAATTCCAAGCTTTTAAATTGGCTTCAAATGCAACTGGTCTAAAATATACTTTCTTATCTGGATGTTTATTTCAACTGGTGAAAAAAAATTTTAAAAATATTTTTTCAAAACATAATATTTTATATGCTCTTAAAAGGTGATTTAAAATTTTTGATCTAACCCACTTCATTTTGTAGCCGTCTCTTCTAAAGTAAACTTCATTCTCTCATAATCTCTTTGAGTTCACTTGTAATCTCCTTTCTATACTCCATTCACTAGTTACCTCAATGCAAGTCCTTTTCTTCATGATCGTCTCCTTTGTGTTGTGATGTCTTCTTCATGCTCGTCTATTTTATAGCACATCATCTTCTCTGTATTTGTCATCTTTTTTAGGTCCATGGACTTCCATTATTGTCACTTAGAGATCAGTGCTTGAAGCATCTAGATCTATGCCTGTCCATCTAGATTCATGCTATGGCATCAAGATCTATGCTTGTTGCATACAGATCCGTGCTATCTCAAGCTCTCATTGTGTTATCATCTAGATGCTAATATTTTTCTAGATTTGTACTCATCTTCATCATCGCCATATTTGTTCTAAGTTTATACATCAATTTTCTTTTTCTATTTGTCTATTTAATGAATAATTTTCAACTTTATTTATCAAATATACTTTTATTGTATGAATCAATATGAATCGAGGCTGTTTCTGGCAAACTTGGCTAGCTTTTTGTACTATCTCATTAGATCTAATTGCTTCTACTCTTATGCTATTTCTTATTTCTTTGATTGTTGGATACTTTGTTGCAATGTTATAATATTTGGATTTTATGAGATATGATAAAATCTCAAAAGAAGCTACCATTTAAATTCACAACTTCTTTTGGTATTTTATCAGGTTTGATAAAATTGCATATCTTTTTTATTTTTAGGTTAGTGGTACAATCAATGTAAAAAGTACCAGACTTTTTCCACACCCATCCCAACTCCAGTTTAAAAAGTCAATTTTAACTAGTTTAAAAAAATCTTTTTTCTAATAGTAAGATTTTTTGAATAATTTTGTTGATTTGACCGTGTCATTATGCCTTGGGGCCAAATGCAATAAATTTATAATCGGATCCAAGGGATGCAGTATAGCAGTGCAATCCGGGTCATGTTCACTTCTGGGAGCCTTATTGATGATCTAAGCTAGCTAAATGCAATGAAAACATGTAATTGAAAAGGGGTTTGGATTTTTAAAGATTTAAATGAATGGTGACTAAACTAAATGCAATGAAAATAAACCTAAGCTATAGTATTTTTGGTATTTTTGCATAAAGTGTTGATGGAATGGAAATGGATGATAGGAAATCTCTTGAAAATGGTTTTAATGGCAATCATGGCTTACTTAAGATATTGGCAGTTTCATAAAGTCATTAGGTTTTCTTGAATAACAACTTCAATTACCCATTGAGTCCAATGTTTAAATCAATAAACTTCATTAATGAAAACACTGTTAAGCTTTCCTAATGTGGAATTTGAGAATGATCAATACAATTGGTTCAACGTAACTCAACATTAACTCAATATCAGAACAGAACCATCTAAGATAGAAGAGAATCAATAGGATTACATGAAACATATATGCAACCACATATATTGAAGCACAGAATTCAACATTAACTAATCCAAACTATAATTATAAATCATCAAATAATGACTACAACAGCAATCCAAGTGTTTAACTAAGAATTACAACTTCTAAACCTGGGAATTAATAAGAACATAGCTAAAAATTATAGATTGAAACTAAAACTCCCCTTTGAAGGTTGGAAACTCATGCTACTCCACCATCTTCAATAGTTGGAAAATCCTAGCCCACTATAACCTTGGAAACAGCCCCAACCAGAGTGGAATTTTTAGTCATAGCAGTTAGGAGATGAACGAGATGATATGGGATGACGAAAAAGTGAAGGAAATGGATGGGAAGGAAGGTGGAGATGGAAAGGCCAGAGGATGAGAGAATAGAAGTGTTGGAGATGAGAGAATGGAGTCATGGGATGAAAATAGGGTTTTTAAGGGTTTAGGGGGCCAATCTGGGTCTGATCATATGAGTTTGGGCTTCAATTTCACGTTCTAATCTGAATCAGGAATTACTGATATGAGCGTTTTCGTCATGATTAAGGGATACTTTTGCCGCGACAAATTTATTTTCTGAGAGGTCACTGGTGAGATTTTGAAGTTGCACTGCGGCGAAGCATTCTCTATCTTAGCTCTAATTCTTGAATGTCCTACAATGACAAGTAATAATTTAAAGCATTAATTGTCCTAAAAATCAATTAAATACAATTAATACTAATTATGATAATTTTACCCTAAAAAAGACACTACTCAAAGCAAGGACTCTTCATCTAAATTAAGCATACTTATCATCGAAAAGAGCCCAAATCTATAATAAAAACCCCGAAAATGATATGAAATAACATAGAACAAATGAGTTTTATCACTTGTTGTACTAAAATGTAAACTCAGAGTGCTTTTCAATAATAGATCATTTATCTAATTCGAATTCAAATTGAGAAAGTTATATCCAATTGAAAGTTGCTATATTTAGTGCGTCAAAAACAAATTATAATAGATAAAATTCAAATTTTGTACGAAAGTTGGAATATATCATCCATAAATTAAAATTTCTTAATACAAATTCCAATTTACATTAATAAACCCATGGTTAAGCATTGCTTAGGTATACATACAACAACAAATTATAGAAACAATTAATTGACTAAAATAATAGAAACTTGTATATCTACACAATATGCTATTTACAAATATTTTCCTAATGTGTGCGTGTACCTATACACATTTATAAGAGAGTTTGAAACATCCTTCTTTTTATCCCTCAGAGTACGTATTTGTAAGCGTTATGGTTCAAGCGGATCACGATACAAACCCGTGGATTTAAAATTCCAACATAATTACTCAAGTTACTATTCACTGTTCAATTTTTAGATTAAAGGTCCAACTTCGAAAAATCATAACTAAATCTATAAATATCGTATTGAGGTGTTCTAAAATTCTACAGAAAGCTCTTTGTTTGCTCTTTAAGAGAAAAATATCCAATTGGACTTATCCTTACCCAATTTGTATAGTTTAATCAATAAAGATTACTGTTCATTTGGTAAAATCTGGAACTACCAGATTCCATGCCTCAACTTTGGAAATTCATATCTTCTTGTGTACACATCCAATTAAAGTGATTTACCTATCATTTTAAAGCTTGGGATGTTGAATGCCAAATTTCATTACTTAACTCATTCATTTGATAGGTCAAATTGGAGTTAGAAGTTGACTACTCCAGGACCTACGTTTTATTCATTAGACAATTCTTGCTTTAATTCTTTTTATTGTTTTGGCATGCATAACTTGGCCCTATCCTTTTCCATTCATTCTCATACATTTTCATTCATGCCATAAGCATTCTAAATAAATACATTGCATCATTGGCATTCATATACATAATTTACATCAATAATTCTCCGCTTTTTTCTCCTTCCTTTTCTTGCTCTCCTTCATGCAATTATTGTCCATCATACTTGACCTAAATGGTTGGTTAGGGAGGGGTGAGATTCAGGAGAATCTCAGTAGCAAACAATAACCACCCAAACATATATGGCAAGCTTAGTATTTATAACATACTTGCAACTTAACATCTCTATACCATAATGACATGTTTGAAAATCAT